ATTTATAATAACACGATTGAAAGTAGCGATAATTTCTGATTTAGAATTATTTAAGGTAGTAATTGCAATTGAGATTCGATGATTGTTGTTTTGATTAGATTTGTAAATCGAAATAACATTATCAATCTTTGTATATATAACTATAAGATCTCATAATCCTTGTTTCTCTTACAAATAAGTTAAAATTGAATCGGCTTGAATATATAAATATCGAATATATTAAAGATATAAAGCGGGAGGGATTTGTAAATAGATTAAATAAAGATTTAATTGAAAGTAGATTTCTTTTTCAGATTAACTAAAACCTAAGCTTCAATCATATCTGAGATTATTATATTAATCTTTTGGAAGAAATAATAAGTATTTTAGATACAATTAATACTATAATCAATTATCCATTATTAAGTTGGTGGTATATCTCTTTTAATTGGATATTCCGATTGTCAGCATCTTTTTATTTCAAATAATTGATTCTGGATTATTGAAGATTGTTTCTGGTTAAAAATATATTTTTTGATAAGAAAATAATAAAAGAATATTCGAAAAATTATTCAAAGCATCGATTAAAACAATCGACTTTAATTCGAATCTTTATTAACCATTTATAATCTAGGATTATATTATATAAACCTAAATTGATAATAAGAAATAACAAATAAAACTATTATCGAGTATCAATCATGAAATTAAGAAATATGAAATAAGTAATAGCTTCATTTTGTACACCATTATAGCTTTTGACTTTAATTGGTGATTTGAATAATATGAAGTGGAGTTTGAATATAGAGAATAATAATAAAAGAAGTATCTTATCAATAAAAACGAAGCTATTCGCTCTGGAATTTATAAGAAATTGAATATTATATAAATATCCATTTTTCGAAAGTATATATAATAAATTTATAAAATCATTTCCCATTAGTTTTGTTAAATCAAGGAATCTTATATCCCGGATTGTATTTAGAAGGGAACTTCTATCTAAACATATTGATTTAAATATTAATCTTTAGCAATACAAGCAGATTCGACAGCTTCCACTTGTATTTCTTAGTTTATATCCTCCTCGATATTCTCTTTTATATTATAGAACTTTTTGTTTTCTCTAATCTCTTGGATCTCGGCTATAGCATTTATATTACTTATATATAGCATGAAACTATAATTCATTTCTAATATAAAGGCAATAATATTATAATTGAAATTGTTTTCTAAAAATAGAATATTATTTAACTTAAAGGTTTCTATATAGCCAATAAAAATACGAAAAGGATATTGAATATAAAACTGAATAGATAGATTCGAATTATTTGATAAGTGGAAAGTGCTTCTAGGGGTAATCGATGAATCGGTGTTACTAGATAGCTTTCTAAAAGGTATTTCTTTAATTATTCTATAACGATTACATTCTCAAAGCGTAACTTCGAGTTTATCGATTTTAGTAAGCTTAATAGCTAGATTCTCGATAATATAATATTTGTTGATATAAAGGTTAATAGTTTATTAAAGGAAATCGGATATTTTTCTTTCCAGATTGCAAAAGAGAGTTATCGGATTGGTGATTTCCACTTGTATAACTAATAATCTAAACCTGCAATACTATACTAGGAAGTTTTTTTGTTGAATATTATTAAACATAATCCAGTATTCGTATTCAATTCGTATATGATCGGTTTTGGCCGGATTCTTGTAAATAACTACAAGTTGATTAATCAATTACTATCCTATCAAACAAAATACTTGAGTATACAGCGAAAACATATATTTTTATACCTCTCCTTCTATTTAATCTACTATATAAGATTGTTGTTACACTTCCGAGATAAACGAATTTTCATAAAGTTCGAGTTGTTTAATAATTAATAGCTGTTAGAGACTTGCTTTCAACTCCATATTATCTTTAAGTTTGAATAAAAGATTAATGAGCTTCGGAATATACAAACGCTTTATTGTAGTGGTAAATGAACGAGAATAGAGTATTCGATAAATTTGTGGGTTATTTAGCAAAACGATTAGATTTGAAAGGGGTCTGCTATTAATACTCAAAAAGGATCGTCACGAAAACTGACTTTATAAATAAAGATTTTTCTTGTTCTTCCTTTTCCCAATAATAAAAATACTCTTTCAATAAAATCAACTAAAATATTAGGAATCCGGATTTCGCGATTTGCAAGGGAATCTGCGTGATATTGCTATCGGTATCTTGAAGGTTGAGATGGATAAGCGATATTAAAACTATATTATAGCAATTTGTTTTTGAATCTTGCGATTTTGTTTTGTAAGTTCTCAAAATCTTTAAAGATCAGCATTTGTTCTTTTTATAACGGGAAAGTATACATCGACATACTACCCTCGAGAATTAATACCTCAATTGAGGAGTCGTTTTTAGGCTATTTACCCTTTCCACATCTACCAATATTTACATTAGAACTGTAAGAACTATAACCATCGCTCCATTGAGATTAACTATCATCGACTGGAGGTGCTCAGCCAACAAGAAGGGGAGAGCAATAAAGTCCCTTTGAGGTAAATAGATCGAATATAATAACAATACTTATAACTCTATATATTAGAAGTTTATTATCTTCCATCAAATAGATTTATTCGGAATCAGCCCTTTTCCTATAAGTAATATCGAATATCCTCGATATACCCAAAAAGATATTATGGTTATAAAGTATTATTTGATCAGCCACCAAATGACCATACAATTGTATAATGAATTATAAATAATATAACACTTTGCCTTAAAAGAACTACAAGAACAGAATACAATTTATTCTTAGAATTTATAACTACAGAATCAGAAGCAAAGCGCTTATAGAGCGCTCCTATATACTAGCTATATACACGTGATCGTACACATACGCAAGCGCGCACGTGAGCGATCGCAGCTGCGATTGGGTGCGATCCGTGACACTCGTTCGCTTAATAGTAGTCAAATGAGTGTATTCGGCTTCTAAGCTATACTCGCTTAAATTGCGGGGCTTCTCGAAATCTCACTCCTCTTATGTGATACGAAAATGTAAGGCCATTAACTAGAGGGTATTATTGGTGATGCTAGTGCATTATAGTGTGTTTATGGAGGTGCACAAAATATATAACAGGGTTAAAAGATATAAAGAAGGTAATTAATGTGTAGTTGATGCGAAAAAGAAAGAGGAAGATATATATAGTGTATCACGCTAAAAGTGATATCACCGATAGCATTAAGCTAATTGGGTTTATATAGGCATATTCTCTCGTAACACACCCCCGAGATTGCTGACTAGCTGGTTGTAGGCAGTAATCTCTGTACTAGCCTCATTGAGTCATAAATACGCAAATCTCTTCCTATCTCTATATGATGCTAAATCTAGGTTCTCTTTTGATTGGATATAATTAGTATTAGGTTCTCTCTGGATATATCTAATAGGCTAAGCGAAGATAGTGGGGCAACAGAGCAGGGTCCTCACATTAGCTCCAATAGGCCAAGATCAGATGACTAATATGGGTTTGTTGAAATACCCTCTTATAAGTGGGCCTACGAAAAACCATTACAAGAGAGTACAGTAAAGTGAAGAATTATGTCACTGCGCTATAAACACATACCGGGCTTATAACTATCATGCTAAAAGTGATATCACCGATAGCATTAAGCTAATTGGGTTTATATAGGCATATTCTCTCGTGACATAGTGTATATGTGATCTTAGCATGAACGGCTTGTTCTCAAAGTAGATTCATGGAAATCTATCTTCAGTGTAAATCTTTAATCTATTTGATTATGAATGTTCAATCTAACATTGATGTGTTTTTATGATAGGACTTACAATCTATCGATATTCATTAGCGAGTAGTATCTAAAGTATCTGAAGTATCTGTCTGAAAGTTATCTAAGAACAAGTAATCATTGCATAACATAGACAGAACAAATGTATCAAGGAATTTATTTGTGTTTTATTACAAGATAGTATATTTTTATATTAATCATTAATTGTAGATAGGAATTTTGACTATTGTCATCTGAAGTTTAATGTTTGTAGAAGATAGTTATCTCATAACAGCTCTGTAGATATATTAATAATATTGTCTAAAGATACAAAGATGTAAAGTCAAGATCATTCCGTGGATTACAAAACTTCAGATTCAACTTTGGGATCTCACTCGAGAGAAACAATTGCTTTTTAGAACAAGAAAAACACACTCACAAGGTCTCGGCTCATAAGACACAGCTTAAAGATAAAAGAACTTTGTAAAACTTTCGAATTTTGTAATGTTAAAGACCTAAATCTATGGCCGAGTGCCAGTAGAGTAAACTCAACTGTCAACTTGTTACTAAAGTTCTAATAACTATCGCCGAAAGACATGTAGTAATCTTCTAGCTGTTATGAAGACACTTAAGACATTTTAACTGAGTTTGAGGGATATAAGAGAATCTTTATCTAACTGTAAGAATGCCAAAGACACACCAAGTAGTTTCCATAAGGTTAAGAGAGAAATAGATCCATTATTTGACAAATTAAACATATCCATCAAAGCAATTAGATGGATACAATTACCAAGTAACAAGATGACTCAAAGACAACAGATACAATTAGACAACTCTCATCTCAGACTCACAGAACTAGATTATCCATAGGAATAAAAATCCAATTAGTTGTTTCCAAGTCACATGATTGATAAACTTCCCATCAACATAATGTCTCCCCCTCGAGGGGCATTTCTGCTAAGCGACTAAGCAAAACCTCTTATTGGTGCAATAGTTGAATTAATCAAAACACATGCTAATTCACGTTTCTTGTTACCTTACTGCATTTCTTGACCTACTTTGAACTCTTCAGCAACAACAAAGATTAAAAATTCGAGTATTTACTCGAAATTCGACATTACTCCCACGCAATCTTTGATTCTTGCTGTTCTGCTTCCTTTCTCTGTTTTTACCTTGCGCCTCTGCCATCTTCGTGCTTCTCCATCACCGCATTGCCTTCCTGGTTCTTTCGGTGCTTCGTCCTCCTGCTACAATGGCAGATATTCAACCGTAAGAGCAACTGCTTGATTTATTCGATTTATGCAACCTTTTATACTAGATTCAACGTTTGATAATAACCTAGATACTGAGCTAATTATTTTAATTCATCTAGCCAATTGCCTGCTAGTGGTGATGATTCTGGTTCCGATGCAGGGTACGTATTATACCCTACTACTACTTCTTCTTCTTCTTCAATGCGCGCCATCTACTTGTCAATTTCTACAAGCTAGACCTAATCCTTTCATCGATTTCAACCGATTCTACACAATTAAACTAACTAATGTCTCAAATAGCCCCCCGGTACCCCTGGCACCCACCGAACCCACCCCAACTTGTGCGCGCTGCGTGAAGAGAATGGTCCTCGATCCTACTAAGAGCTGTGTGCTCCATCAACAAAGCCGGCGTGCTCGAAAAATGAATGCCGATACGAAGTGCACATACTGCCAGTGCCAACGGGCAAGATGTTACAAGTGCCCTTCAGCACTCAAGCCGGAGATTTTGGAGCTTCAACAACGAGCCCGGGACTACAATACCTGGGTCGATGGACAAAACCTACTTCCGCCTGCTCTTCGTAGCACCTGGGTCTTGCCAAAAGAGAAGATGCCGACTCAGTGCCCCACCAATGCACCAGATGTTTACAAAGAGCTACATAGGGCTCAAAAAGTGGTTATGAATGGGATTCCCAGAGCCCAGAAGGGTATCTCTGGGTGGAAAACCATGAGGAAAGGTATCAAGCATGAAATCATGGGACTGAATCCTGTGGTTAGGAATGGTGACAACCGTGGCTACTGGTGGTAAATGGGGGTAGATAAGGCCTTGGGAACCTATTTGAAAGTTACCTAAGGGGATGGGTAGATAGAGGCTTGGGAACCTGTAAGTTACCAAAGGGGACGGTTGAGTGGAGTGGAGCGGAGATAGAATGGCTTGGGAACCATAAGTACCTGTAGGATAGATAAGGGAGATGGATGGATGGGTGTATATGGGCATCGTATGGATGCGGCGGGGGAGGCCAGCAAAGACGAATCTCTACCTGTACGTGGTGCTGGCTACGAACCTGAGTATGACCTACTTGTACTTACCGACGTTGTCTTCGGATTACTGTTGCTTGTATGTATAATTGGTCATTAGTCAGAGCCAAAGAGATAGCATAAGGTAGTGTATATGAGTAAGATGAGACAAATGGAAGGGAGAATTGATATCGCTCGCTCTTTATCCAATTGATTTGGTAATCAAGAGATTTAAAAATGAAGATGTGGATCCTTCACATCCATTTATCCTTGACAATGAGGGTATGGCTATAAGGGATCCAATTCGAGAGGTTCGGATCGATGCCATTTCGTTGGATTGATCATGGCGGGCAGATAAACCAAATGAGCTTGACTTCATACTAGTGGCTCGTTGATGAAAGGCAAAACATAGACATGGTAGACATGGTCTGTATTTAATGTTCATTCAATCGATATACAACGTTACATACAGGGCCCAGATGGCAACTGAGCCAGTGAAAGATGTCATTTGAGTGAGTTTGGAGATTGATTTGAATTTTTGCTTGAAACGGAAAGAATGTTTATGGTAGAGAAGATTTTTGAAGAGCATGTCAACGCAGTTTTAAAAGGAGTATGAAGCACGCGGGATTGAGTATCGTCGTGGAGTAGACTTGAGATTGGTTGTAAGATGAACATTTGGGCGAAAGAATTATGTAAACTGCTGTCAACATTATCATCAGGTGATGAATACAGGATCAATTTATTGGCAAGCAGTTGGTTATTTGAAACAATCTTACATTCTTCAATTCTCGCCCAGTCATTGGATAAGCAAAAGCTCTGCTTGTTATGGTATTGTAAAACACCTATCCGCCCCCAAAACGCCATAATGATGCTCCTTTCCCGTCAAACTCCCTTTTCCATCTTACAGGATCCGACCCACCTTCTTTACGCTTTCTTTGGCAAAGCAGGTGGACCCATTTTACCAGCACCAGAATCTACTTTCTTGGGAGGAGGTCCCATACTGCTATCACCACCATTGCCAACTTGAGTAAATGTTCCACCTTTGAACCATTTATCTTCTTCTGCTGCCCTCTTTCTCTTCATTTCTGCTACTCTCTTTGGATCTACCAATTCTAATCCTTGAACTGGCGTAAATGCCAAACTACTAGCAGTTCCTGCACTAGCTCCAGTACTAGTACTTAATCCTCCTACACCTGATGCTCTTAAGCCTTTACCCCGTAAATCTATATTACCAGCCGATTGACCAAATCCTCGAAGTGATGATGCAGAACCACTCATAGGAGTTGAAGTACCCCAACCTTTGTTCTTTGCGGAAAGTTTGGCCTTTGTACGTTGATCTATTTGAATATTTCGGATACGACCGTCGTTGCCTTGTCCAATCATACCCATACCCTTAGTTCCATCACCAGTACCATAACCAACTTCTTTCTCTTCCTTTCCAAATGCCATTCTATTTTGTGCTTTTCTCAGATCGGTCATCGCAGTTGCCGCCTTGGCTAATCGAGCACGTCGACCACCACGTTTGCGTGCAGGTTTATCATCTGGAGCTGGCAATGCGCGAGCACCTTTATTTGGAGGGGGCTCAGTGAGCTTTTCGAGTCGAGTGATACATTGTTCTTTCAATTCTTCACCTGTAGAACCATCTGGACTATTATGAACGCGATCAACTCTTGCGGCTAGGACAACTTTAGCGGAGACAATACGCATAGCTTGTTTCTTAAGATCATTGGGAATTCCTTGAATGATAGGAGAATGATAAAGAAATCCTTGTTGGCGAACTCCGACATTAGTAGCAAAACCCGTTCCGGATGATTTATTGGATCCTAGAGGAGGAAGATTGCATGCAGGTGTCTTTGCTAAGCCTGTCAAACCTCCAGCGAAATTGAGTAGTTGTGCCGCTGTAAGAGATCCAATGAGGGCTGTAAGATTTGGAGCGAATAAGTTCATGCGTGATTGAACATAATCAGTTAAAGTCTTTTTCGCTTTGTCCAATGCAAGAGTCATATCACAAGCACGAAGTACTCTTTCAAGTTCATGAGGTGACATTTCTCGACCCTTTGTAGTGGTTGCCTCGACCGTAACAATCATAACAGATGGACCATCCAAAACGGATCTCAGTGTAGCACCAAGTCGATTATCCTTCGATGTTTGAAGCGTCTTGATATTTTCCGAGTCCATAGGTCCATTCCCAATAATAGTGACAACTTTAGCATAGTCCAGTGGATTGGTGACCAATGTTTCCAATTCCGGAAATCGAATCGAATAATGATCTCGTATGAACTTGTGGACTAGGATAATTTCACTATCGATAGATGTCGACAAAGTGTTTGCTTGCGTTAAGAGATGATATTCTGGGTTGTCTTCGACCGAGCCTACGAAGGTTGTTTGTTTATCGGGAGGTAACGATTGAAAATGTGCGATTTTCTGTCAAATCGAGGAAAGAGTCAGGGCTAAGACACGAAAGAGTAGATGTAAACCATAGGTCTCCAAGTTGAGAAAGGGAGAAACATAATTCTACTGACCTCTAAAACTGGTTCCAACGTTTTCATCAAACCTGCTACACTCCGCACATCATCCACTCCACCAAGTTGCATCTTTTCAACTTTCGCTTTGGTCGCCTCCTCATCTTCTGCAGTATCGATAGCACCACTAGTCATTCCTGCCATCTCATCATCCTCGTCGACTGCTTCTTCATCGCCATCGAGCTCCATTTCGCTTGCGCCTGAAAGTCCTGTCGCGTTCCCATTCATGCTCAGGGCGACCTCGTCAGGGTCGGCAAAAAGGTGTGCATTATCCTCCCCTTCACCTTCGGATCCAGAATCCTCAAAATCTTGCAATAATTCATCTGCGAGAGTCGACATCTTAAATGTAATGCTGTTTGCTGTAGTTGGCGTGTGAAGGTATAGAAAATCGATTAGAGAAGAGCTCAAGCCGGAAAGGCGGCCGCTAGCGTAGGTACAGATAATATTACTAATCAATCTTTTTGACTATCGCGACACCTTCAAGTCTTGAACGCGAACCAGAATCATACCAACTGTTTCGTCAAGAGATTAAACTCTATCGCCACCATGGAGTCTGAATATGAGAAAGCTCGAGGACCTCCAAAGGTCAAAAACAAGGCCGCCAGTGCCATCCAAATTTCAGCAGAACAACTTCTACGAGAAGCTGTTGACCGTCAAGAACCAGGACTTCAAGCACCAACTCAGCGGTTTGCTGATCTCGAAGAGCTTCATGAATTCCAAGGGAGGAAAAGAAAAGAGTTCGAGGACTATGTGCGGAGGAATAGGATTAATATGAATAATTGGATGAGGTATGCGCAATGGGAGTTGGAACAGAAAGAATTCAAACGAGCACGATCCGTTTTTGAACGAGCATTAGATGTCGACTCAACATCTGTCACATTATGGATTCGATATATCGAGGCGGAGATGAAATCGCGGAACATAAACCATGCCAGAAATTTGTTGGATCGCGCCGTCACTATTTTGCCTAGAATTGATAAATTGTGGTACAAGTATTGTTACATGGAGGAAATGCTTGGTAATATTCCCGGTACACGACAAGTCTTCGAAAGATGGATGTCTTGGGAACCGGATGAGGCAGCTTGGAGCAGTTACATCAAATTGGAGAAAAGATATGGCGAGTTTCAAAGAGCTAGGGAAATCTTCCAAAGATTTACCATGGTACATCCCGAACCAAGAAATTGGATCAAATGGGCCAGATTCGAAGAAGAGTATGGAACTAGTGATTTGGTTAGAGAGGTATTTGGCACAGCTGTCGAAGCTTTGGGTGAAGACTTTATGGATGAGAGACTCTTTATTGCATATGCGAGATTTGAGGCAAAGTTAAAGGAGTACGAACGCGCAAGAGCCATTTACAAATATGCCCTCGACCGTATGGCACGATCAAAGTCTATTTCCCTCCATAAAGCTTATACGACTTTCGAGAAACAATTCGGTGATCGTGAAGGTGTGGAGGATGTAATTATCTCAAAACGTCGAGTTCAATATGAAGAGCAGGTAAAGGAGAATCCCAAAAATTACGATGCGTGGTTCGACTATGCCAGATTAGAGGAAACTTCAGGGGATGTCGATCGAGTTCGAGATGTTTATGAGAGGGCCATTGCTCAAATTCCACCAACTCAGGAGAAGAGGCATTGGAGGCGTTATATCTATTTGTGGATTTTTTATGCTATTTGGGAGGAAATGCAGTCAAAAGATGTTGAGCGAGCGAGACAGATCTACCAAGAGTGTCTGAAATTGATACCCCACAAGAAATTTACATTTGCCAAGATTTGGCTCATGAAGGCTCAATTCGAGATTCGACAACAGCAATTACAAGCCGCCAGAAAGACTTTAGGTCAAGCCATCGGAATGTGTCCTAAAGATAAGCTTTTCAAAGGTTATGTTGAGCTAGAGATCAAACTTTTTGAGTTCGTGAGATGTCGTACCCTTTACGAGAAACATATCGAATGGAATCCAGCTAATTGCCAAGCCTGGATTAAATTTGCTGAACTGGAACGAGGTTTAGATGATCTGGAACGTACTCGTGCGATATTTGAATTGGCAATCAGTCAACAAGTTCTTGATATGCCGGAATTATTATGGAAAGCCTATATTGACTTTGAGGAGGAAGAAGGCGAGTACGATCGTACTAGACACCTATACGAGCGATTATTGGAGAAGACAGATCATGTGAAGGTCTGGATCAGTTATGCACATTTCGAAATTAACGTTCCAGATGATGATGAGGAAGAGACAGAGGATGAGGAGGAGAAACCAGTTAGTGAAGCTGCAAAAACACGTGCAAGGAAGATCTTCGAACGTGCCCTTAAGAGCATGAAAGATAAGGATCTTAAGGAAGAGGTATGTCACACACTTGATCCACATTTTCTAACACAATATCTAACGAATTCACAGCGTGTTTCTCTCCTCAATGCTCATCTTTCCTTTGAACGTACTCATGGTACAGAGGAAGATATCGAGAAAGTACAGAAACAAATGCCAAGAAAGACGAAGAGAAGAAGAAAGCTTGATGATGATAGTTATGAGGAATATGTCGATTACGTTTTCCCTGCCGATGATGAACAAACGAAGAAATTGTCGAATTTCTTGGCAATGGCTCAAAGTTGGAAACAAGCTGGTGGAACGATTAGCGGTGGCGGAGATTAAAATAAATTTTAATGACGAGGTTGGAAGAGTCGAACAAAATTGTGTATGTATACCTAGGCCGCCATCAAATGAACTGACGATACTTAATGTATGGTACGTTTGAAAATATCACCCAGAACATTTTCTGCATCAGTGTATGTTCCCATGGTTTCTACTTGTTTGGACGCTTTTAGTTTAATTTCATTAAAGTCTTAGCATTATTTGTTTCGGGTTCAAAGCGAATAGACATTCACGTTGGGTGGACTCATTGGCATCAGAAGATTGACAACATCTGGAAGAATCTTCAGAAAGGATTCGGGGTTCTCTCTGAAATTCAGATCGCCAAGACCATTTCGACCCAACAGTAATTTGATCATTCAAGATTGGCATTATTATCAAACGGCTCCCGAGAGATTCTGGCCACCAACAAGTCGGTGTCATTGTGCAGGATAGAGTTGGAGAACGTAGTGGTGATTGTTTAAGGTAGGCGGAGAGAAAGATTGAGTGATATTTGTCCGGATAACTCAAACAATCTTCCAATCTTTGTTGGATTTAAAAGTGTGGTAGGTAATGAAGAAATGGATCTACAACCCGAACGATTCAAAATATATAACTTTTCATGTTCACAATTTGTTCTCGATCTTGTCACATCCCATAGATCCCTGTTTCGATAAAGCGTCCTGATTATTCTTCATTCACCTTTCAATAACTCGACAAAGCTTTCGCCCTTAATCTTGGACCGTACCGCCATATACCCAACGGTGCTGTTATGCCAATGGCAATAGCAACAAACGCCAATGTGCTATTTCCCCACCCATGCCCCAACACTTGATACATCTTCGGCGCAAACAAAGGGAAACCAAAAGCAGTCAAGCTGCGCAGAAATTGTGATGCAGCAGATGCTGAACTCGTATGGTCTGGATATGAATCGATAACGTATGCTTGCAATGCTTGTCCACCAATCTGCATACCAAAACATAATACAAAAGCTCCAAGGTCGACGATTATCCAAGGTGCATGCTTTTGAGCTGCCCACCCATACACTAGAAGCCCAAGTGGTATGAGGACGAATGCTGGTATCATGATCGGAACCCGAAATTCCGGCATCTCGACACCATCTGCGCGTTGTTTCATTCTGCGGAAGACGAGATCTAATAATGGCCCTCCAATTTGTGCTCCCACTATTTCTCCAAGGCACATGGCAAGATAATGAAGGCCACTTTTGGAGATAGACTCGTGGTATTCTCCAGTCCAAATATCGGAATAGGTGGAAAGAGTAATATAGGCGATGCCATAATCGAAAGCCGAAAGACAAGCCTGGACTTGAATAATTGGATGGAATAGAAGTAAACGAATGGGTCTAGAAAAACTTCTCATCAATACCCAGGACACTGATCTTCCTTTCCTAAGTGCCTCATCCTCTGTGTAATAACGCGAATTCCCGGTACTGAGCCTGAGCTCTTTAGCTTTATGCCGAAGAATTGTCGGACCATGAGTTTCTCGAAACAAAGGAATCGATATCACGATCATTATCGCCTGAAAAATTGATGTTGACCAAAACATCCACCTCCAGCTCGTATATTCCGTGATGTAACCTCCAATAATAGGACCAGCAGCTGCACCAAGCAGTGGTAACAAGGAATAAATCCCCAGCGATCTTCCTCTCTCATCAGATCTCCAAACATCTCCTAGAACTCCACTTCCTAAAGCATAAATAGCACTAGCACCAAGACCGGCCATCAATCTTGCAGCAATCAATAACCCCTTCGTGTGCGCAAATCCACAAACAATATTCCATATCAGGAACCATATATTGGTCGTATGTAACACAACGCGTCGTCCATATAATTCAGATAGCGGACCAATAAGTAAGGGACCAAAGGCTGTGGCGAGTAAGTAAACGGACATAGCCATAACAGACTCAAGGGAAGTCATGTGGAGCTCAGATGCGACTATGGGAAGTGCAGGTGCCATAATCGTGGATACAGCAATTCGGTTGAATCCGGTGGATGAAAGAACGAGCGTAGTGAGCCATTTCTGGTAGGTCGGCCAGCATTTTGGGTTGGTAGGATCTTGGGGGACGGTAAATGCTACGAGATATTCAGCGTCAGCGTATGTCGTGGAAGTCTTCTCGGAAGCTTTCTCGGGGTCATTCTCAGGATCCATTTTCGAAAGCCTGCGTTATGAAAATCGGGCTAGCCGTCGTGGTAAGCTTTAGTATGAGGTTGTTCGGAATAAATTAAAAGTTAAGCTGATGATTTTTCATTCATGTTATGGTTCATCTCATAGTATATATGCATCTGACGATACTCTAGGAATAAGCTGCTGGGCCTACCTATTCCGTTATCCTAGATCCGTGAGTCTTACACCGGTCTCTGCAAGGAATTTGACAGTTAACTTAGACGAATGGTTGCATGTTTAATATTCATATCCTAGAGAAACTGTCTACGATGCAGAGAACATCTTATCCATATTGCCATATAATTTTTTATAGAAAATCATTCATTTTCCCGAAGGAGGTTTTCCTGCCGAAAAGCTCTTCTATGAAACTACCATGTAATTCTATATTTGGTCATTCGATTTTAGCCTTTTCAAGACTTTGGCTTTTACTAAGAATCCAAAACTCAAGGGCAAATCGCACACCAAAACTTCCCGAGGAGAATTCGTGCTCATTCATCTCGCTTTTGCTCCCACGGAATAAGCGGAATAGCATATACGGAGTACGGAATAACAGTGAGGCGCTAGGACCCACACATGTATCGCATCACGAGAAGGGTGCTAGATATGGCAAGCAATATATTGATCACCGGTATCTAAAGAAAATGATTGGATTGTGATCCTCTGATTGATAAGATATGATTAGATTGTAAAATTATCTGATCTTTTCCTTGCATTAACGCTAGGCAAACATGAAGTAGCCGAGCTCTAGACTCCAATTCGACTACCAGCAGCGAGCGACAGCACCTTGCTTTATTGTGGGACAGTTTCGAAAACAGAAAGATCTTCATTATCAAAATCTCATTATTGAAAGATATGTCAGGTTTCAACGTTTGTAGTTGGGCCGATCTAGAAGCCATTAGCCAATCCTACAGCAACGTACATTAGCTAGTGCTATCATAAGATCTGTCAACTTGAGTGAGCTCACTAGAGATTATTATCAAGCATGCATCATTCCCGGTAAGCTCGGAGTTTTCTGTATCTAATCAATCGCCTTTTCTGGGGCGGCGCATTTGATGGACTTTCTCCTGCTTGGCCCTCCTCTCTTTGTCTTTTCAATTCCTCTTCTCGCTGTCTTCTCGACCCCTCTTCTCGCTGTCTTCTCGACCCCTCTTCTCGCTGTTTTCTCGACTCCTCTTCTCGTTGTTTTCTCAACCGCTCCTTTTGTTGCTCCTCGGTCTGCTGCTTTCTGGCTAATTGCTCTGCGGCTTGCTGCACTCTAGCTAACTGCTCTATCGCTTGCTGTACCTTGGCTTGCTGCTCTGCGGCTTCCTGCTCTCTGGCTTTCTGCTCTCTGACAAACTGATTTTTGCCTATCCGCCCTGTGGCTAAGTGCTTTTTGGCTAATTGTTCTTTGGTTGAGTGCTCTTTGGCTTGCTGCTCTGCGGCTTGCTGCACTCTAGCTAACTGCTCTTTCGCTTGCTGTACCATGGCTTGCTGCTTTCTGGCCTCCTTCTCTCTGGCCTCCTCCTGCTTCTGGCCTCCTGCTTTCTGGCCTCCTTCTCTTTTGCTAATTGCTCTTTGGTTTTCTTTCTCCGGTCTCATCGCCATCATCATCATCATCATTATCATCATCATCATCATCATTATCATTATCATCATCATCATCATCATCATCATCATTATTATCATCATCATTATCATCATCATCATCATCATTATCATCATCATCATCATCATTATCATCATCATCATCATCATCATCATCATCATCATCATCATCATCATCATCATCATCATCATCATCATCATCATCATCATCATCATCATCATCATCATCATCATCATCATCATCATCATCATCATCATCATTATTATCATCATCATTATCATCATCATCATCATCATTATCATCATCATCATCATCATCATCATCATCATCATCATCATCATCATCATCATCATCATCATCATCATCATCATCATCATCATCATCATCATCATCATCATCATCATCATCATCATCTCATCATCATCATCATCATCATCATCATCATCATCATCATCATCATCATCATCATCATCATCATCATCATCATCATCATCATCATCATCATCATCATCATCATCATCATCATCATCATCATCATCATCATCATCATCATCATCATCATCATCACTATCACATCACTATCACCATCACCATCATCACCATCATCGCTTTCTGAAATCTCACTGAGAGCTTCTCCCCCTTCAACCCGTTCAAGAATACCTTCCTCATATGTTACCTGTAACTCCGGTCTTGCCCAATCTTGCAAACGTCTATACGTCAAACGTATCGTATCTTCAGCTATTGGTCTTATATGGTCTAATATTTGAGCTGCAGTCCATCTCTTTTCTACGTCCATTTCTCTTGGCTTTTCAAGCTCGTTAGCCAAAACTTTAGAAAGATGTGGATCGCATAAACCCCAATTCGGCTTCTCCTTTTTATTTTGCTTTCCGTCTACTTCAGTTCTCTTTGGTCGTCTACCTGAGTGCGACAGAATGTAAAATGACATCCCGACACACCAAACGTCATATTTGGCACTTAAATAAGGTTCTTCGGGCGCCCCGCACACCGTGTTTCCCGTGTCATGCCAGCGTTGCTCTCCATATGGCACATAGGTGGCTTCTCCGAAGTCCCCAATTTTTACAGTTGGATATGTGTTTGGTTTCCCAGAGTCCTTCAAAAATATGTTGTCCAACTTGATATCAAGGCAAATAACTTGATTGCGTGAGTGGAACTCTTGTTTCTTATTGAGTTCGTGGTCACCATGAAGGAAACTAAGAGCTTCCATTGTCTGCATATAGACATGCCAAATGAACGCTTCTGGTATTGCTGCATGCTTGTATAATTTTGGCATATTTTCTGGTTTGTGAGTCCATACAGAACCTTCGGGCTCTCCTGAGCCCCAGCGTGGTCTATCATAGTACTGCGTCACAATGTTTTCCAAATTTCCCCAATCACAATACTCAAAGATATGGCAGTGGCCGTTATCTTCTGCTTGTTCTAAGTCGAAAAAAGCTTCTAAGTTGCAGATAGAAGGATGACTAGAACGTATGTACTGCAAATAACATTTGGTTTCATTGAACCGTTTAGTCATTAAATGCCGTTCTTTCATTACTTTCGCGGATATCTTCGAAGCCTCAGAAGAAGGTGTGACAGGAGGGGTCTTGGCTCCCCTCCACGCTGGGGGTGTCATCATTGGCTCATCGTCATTTTCTCTTATAAGCCTGCAGGATTTGGGAGTCAGTATTGCTTGTGAAGACTAGGCTTTGGAGGAAAAATGAGGTGTTCGTGTCGTGCAGGGCATTAGAAGAGGTGTGCAAGATGAAATATAAATGTGCTATTTTGAGCCGAAGAATAAAATGAGATAAAAAACCAAAGGGATTAGTGATTGCGTTAATCTTACTGAGTCTTCATTGCATATTGAACCTTAGTCTCAATATTCTCAATAAGGTATACTGCTCCAAAACCGCCCTCGCCGATCTTGCCTATGATTTTGATATTTTTGTTTGTGAACCCTGCGGTTGGTTTTCGCCATTTGTTATGACGAAGAGGCGCAGCTGTTTGATGTATAGCACGCAGAATGTCCACGGCAGCCTGGGTATCTTCATGAATCAATCTTCTCTCGGCTCTTTCTTCTCGTCTTTCCTTATCTTTAGCCATTTTATGCAATAGTTTTTTCTCTATCACACATATGAGGGTTGAAATGACCAGAGCGAGTCTTTAAGTAGTCTTCGAAATAATTGTAAATCGGGTGCACGAAACGAAATACGCAATATTCGTTTTAAATTCATTCACTATGAAATGCCTAATGTGCAGGCCGAGATTTCGAGGAAACCACGTTCGGATTTCGATTTCTTGTCAGAAATTTTGTTAAATCCAACGAGACGACAGGAAAATCAACCTAGAATGCAGCAGATATTCAAGAAGTGGAACAAAGCCACAAAGGAATATCTACGACCTTCGCCCAAAATCTCTATGGTCAGCTTCATTGTACTTTTGTATGGGCTTTGTTATCCAAAAACAATCGATGCTCATGGCATAGTGTTGTTGTTAAGGATTAATGTCTTTGTCAGTTTTGCAGTTGCACAAAATTATGCAAATGGTAAAGATGTTCAATTCCTAAGCCGGAAAAACCAATGTAGCGCCAGTATCCAGAAATTCATAATTACAATACCAGAGAATAATTTGTGAGTCTAGATGGGAGGTGTTGCCTAACAATTTTCTATGAACTTTGACAATCATAGCCTATAACCTACATGATAGCTCGAATTAAGAGCTATGGAGATTGAAAGGTCTTGTTGTATGAATTTTCCAAACTTGATGTAATTACCTATGTATTATCTTGAACACCTAAAACAACCACTGGGTATCCAAAAGGATCGTTTCATGAAGCACATCCAATATTAAATTTCACATCAAGACATATCATTTCATCATCTCAAAGTAAAACACTCCAACTTCTTCGGCCAATTCACCGTCACAGCCTCTCTGTCCATAATTTCATGTGCATAACACTCTCCTATGAAACTCCATCCCCCCTTGCCTTTCCAGCCATCCTCATGTCTTCTCAAAACAACAGTTACCGCATAACCTAGGAGTATAAAAATCACATCACCTTCGTTTGCCTCATTAGGCATCAATCCAAAAAGTTCATTCCCCCTTTTCCCGCTCGTTAAGAAAAATCTTCTCTTCCACACTACCGCTTGTACTCGATCTAAAAATTGAAGCATGGCTGCCGGTGCCTTTTTTTCTAGTTTCATATCATCAGTATGCCAATCTCCTGACGCATCTCGCAGTAAACATACTTCTAGACAATATGCGCAAGCTCTCCGATACCAATTGGACGCATTGACACCATCGGGTCCACGGTCCCCTACTAGAGTCCTCCATAGTGCATCATGTGGCTCATACTTTCCTGTCAAGGGGTCTTTCTTACATCCCCCCATTTTCAATGCTTCAGCTGTAATTATACCTCCAGTCACGGCATCAGATCTTCTATTTATAACATCCAGCTGAAATCCTTCAACATACATGATACCATCGAATTTGTGTCGGAGTTGTATATCCTCCTGCTTCTTCGCATATATAGGTTCTACACCGGGCTCTCCTGGGATGGTCGGATCAATTTCATCGTCCTTAAGATCATAATTGATTTTCTTGCCGAGACGCACAAGAGGTGCTAGTCGAGAGGATGCATTATATTGTGGACGACCTGACTCATCTACAAAACTATCTCCATTAATCCTCCATTTTTTGCTCCGCTTGGCGAGCCAAAAGCATACCGATCAATACTGGTAATCCAAGATGGCATTTTCTCCTTTTCAAATGTGCTTTTGACCTTTTCCCGAGTGTTTTTGAGCTTAAGTCTGGGGGCCGATGGCGACAAAGAATATCGAGGGAGTTGGACATTTGAATACAGTATTCTATGAAATCCGCATAGACATCCGAGAGACACTTTTGGTAATTAGGCTGTATGCGTGGATCCAAAACTGCCATAGAGGGGCTTGATTGTGTGTAGAACAATGTGGTGAATAAATTAAAGAATGGCCATACCACATATTCTAACAAAACCATCAGAATTTTGATCACACCGCGTCGCCTTTCAAAATCTAGCCACCGCCTTTCTGTATCAAGTTTAGAGCCCAGATTCCCAGTATCTTTAGCAATAGATAAGATTGTGAATATTGTATCCCTTGGATCAGTGGCTTCAAACGCGAGAAGCATAGAGGTAACTAAAATTTCCAAACTCAATAATCGTTGCTCGATCCGCCCATCGTCAGATCTGCGGAATAAGCAAGAGGCGGTAGTGACCAGCGTATTAGCACCAAGCGCACGAGCGTCAAGAGCACCGAGATATTCTGTTGGCTTCCTCAATTTCTCAAAGTCGGTTCTCATAGATTTGTTGAGAATCTGCTTCATTCTGGGAAATTTAATCAGCAAATTCCGCCCATTTCATCTCTTGATTTGCATACCGAATCGATGAATTCTTTGCGAGAGCAAGTTCTTGTATACGTATTACCCATCTCCTTATAAACCAATCATTTTTCATAAGATTGATAATAAGCATCCAGTTTTCCCAGTCTTCTTTCTGTCAACGAAGCGATCCAGTACCTGGAGATCTAGAATACTTCTCAATATATTGAATGTACGCTTCGGACCATCAGTCGCGCCCTGCTCATCATTTGTTCCCAACCAAACACAAATGCTCTTAGAAAATATGTAGACTTCGTGCATTCTCGCAACCTGCGCGGCCTTTTCCTTATTATTTACTTGGTTTATGCATATAGCATCACACCATAGATGCACCTCATCTTTCTCCGATCCGAGTTGCAAGAGAGCTTCTCTAAGATTCTTTTGAATAAACCTCGTGCTGAAAGGCCATAAAGCGTCTCAATCTTCGCTAAATTCCTCATTGCTGTATACATAAATTTTGTGCACGGCATCGTCGTCTCCCCAATGGTAAGATAAAGCCGTGTACTCGAGCTTAATAAACTTCGACTTAGAATTTCCGTCACTGTCTGGTAGGGCGCTGGCCATTAAGACGCAATAAATTGGAGAGTCTCTTCTACCCGGTAGGATTTGTAAAAGTCGATGTCCTCGTTGTAATTGATGCCCTTGTATTTGTGATATCCTACTTTTTGCGGTACCACGGAATGTAACACATTTTGTAGGCGATCTCGAAGATTTTTTGCGCGAATCACTGGCTCCTGAAAAGCATTGCATCGACTTCGATGTTGTACTTGCTCGGGTGTTCCTGCTCTGCTTTTCGGATCGGAGTTCGGCATATTGACTGTTCTCATATTGTGACAAGTCCGTTCGTAGGATCAAGATTTTACACTCAATTCTATGTCTAAAGGTTTTGAGGCAAGTAATCGAATTTTCGAGGCTCTGCATTTGTAACACGAAATCACGGAACGGTGATTGCGGAGCGCGACGCCCTGTAGGATTTAGTGTTATAAAAATATCAGCGATGTAAGCATCATGATTGTCAGCTGAGAAATTGGAGGTTTGATACCCCCTCGTTCAAGCCATTCTCTGATATTTCGTTCAAATCAAGGGATCATTTTCCTAGCTGAAATAGATTTTCAGTCTTTTAACAGGGAGTTTTTACCACTCTCTTCTTTCCAGATTTATTGATAGGGAACAAAATGTTCTATTGTACCACTTGCAATGCTATTTGCAGTGAAATGATTGTGAAATAGCAAGTGACTAGATTTTTGCTGACCATTCTCCGCTTCCATCGGGCTTCGAGAAAAACACTCTTCTTCCTTACAAGGCAGGTATCAGACTTCTATTCCAAATAATGACAAGTCGTTTGTTCCTGATCGCGTATCCACGATAATCAGTCTTGCAAGCTGCAATCGACAAGAGATAATATAGATTATCTTCTCCCCCGCTCTACTTCTCTGTAGCTTCAAAGTATTCTGACCACCCCCTATTTGATTTGTTTTAGTATGACCTAATCTTTTTCGATCGAAGAATGGTATCTGAATGAGAAGAACGAAGGAAGTCGACTTACTTAACATTTGCTTTGCGGGGTAATAATACCCAGTCAGCTAAAGACTGCTCCTCGATATTTATGGGCTCCAATGCCACATATGCACATATTCGCCTATCTGGTAATTGTTGGGATGTATTAATCTTCGTTGCCGCTACTATGAGATGATTTGTGACTTCCTCGTCGTCGCACCCAATACCTTGAATTGTTACCCAAGCTCTAAGGACAAGAAGAACACGATATATTTGACTAAGTAGATATGGCTGCCCTAAAGCAACGACATTTATTCCAAATACTAAACAACCAATATCTCTCATAGCTTTCTAACCCTAACCTTGAGGAGTAGTGGGTCCTCTCGTACAGCCAACAACAACCAGACTCCTGGGAGCAAATGAGGTAATCAGTTTTCCGTTAGCTGAAGTGATCAAGAACTCTACTCTTTGCCTACTCGAAGCGTGATTTATAGCGAAACCAATGCCTTAAAATTCGGCCTGAAGATATTTGCATATTAATTGCCGGCTTGAACTAACAAAAGATACTTAGATAAGTTGGATGTGACTTTTATCATGATGTATCTACATGATGCAGACCGAGTGCTCGAATGGGGAGATTTTTTTTGCAAGAGTATTGATCGCCCAGATCAATGTCGCCCATCGTGTGTAACGTGAACACTCAGCCTCAGCCTCAGCACCAGCCTCATTATTTCGACCCATTATCCTGCTTGAGACTCATTGGTATGATAGCATATCAGGAGCATCACAATAGATACAATTAAAGTTCTTTAACAGTCGTAGCAGGTTTGAGAATTGCAGCTTTCACTATCATTGTGTGGTTTCCGTGCAACTTTGATCAGTATAGCCGCCATGAAAATTGGCCCCGTCCTGACAGTGCTATTCCTCCGGCGTCTTATGCGTGATTTGGCAAAAAGAAATTCCAGTAATGCGGCACAAGCTGAATCAGATCACCTTTGACTTCATCACGTGGCGCTTTTCGCATACTCCAAAGCAACTCGAATTCTGATAATAGGCAACTACAAGGTGAAATTAGGGCAATGCAAGCGACATGTAAACGCCTTTCTCTAGTGCGTGGAACTTCCGGAGCAGATTCTGGATTGTCTGCAATTGTCCAATTAAACACAGAAGCAGGTGCAGACCCAATTCTAGGTGAGCAACTCAAACGCAACTACAACAAAACAGCAAAGAGCAGTTCAGAAAGCCCTATCTAAACTGTTCGATTCGCAACCTAGTGTAAATACTTCTGATATATATCAGACCGAGTGGCGAGAGTGCATGGCATCGTGGCAGAAATGCACAGACGATATACCATGTTCTCCGACGTCGAACGCCACGTGGGTTGTTCGGCCAATTGTTATTTGTACTTAACTTTAGCAAGTTCTCTGTGGCACATCCTATCGTTTGGATATTTTTATGGAATCTATTTGAAGCTCTTCACGAACTTGATAGAGCCTTACGTGAGATTTCGGTGCGATAGTGGAATGGAGAGAGATGACTCCATTCGCATACTTGACCTCACCAAGAGAGAGTTGAGCAGAAGTGTTGAAACACTGTGTTTAAATTTACTTAAAACGCGAATTTGAGAGCAACGAGAGTCTTAATTGTCTTATCGAAATACGTTAATCCGTCGATAAAGTGGAAGAAGTGCTGACAGGATTAAAGAAAACTTTCTGGATAATCTCGAGAAGGAAATTGGACCGTAAAGAAGTTAGAGGAAATTAAAAAGGCGGCTCTCCATCTGCCAGACACCCAGGTGCCCCATTCACCACAGTATATTCATAGTCTGCCTATCACAATTAGTGGAACCAGAGGCAGGGAAATTTTGTCTTAAATTCGAAGCCAACTCGTGAGAGGGATTACAAAAGGCTCTCCGATGTAGTCACCTCAAGTAATGTAGCCCAAGAGGATGTTGTGAATGAGCTGGAGTAAATCTAAAATGTTTTTTACACCCGAAGGCTGTTACCAATCGTGAAAGAGACGAAAGGAAAAAGGAGTGAGGGAAGTTTTGTTGAGCGGAGATGAGATGTCTTGATACAGTAGTCAAGACATGGTTTCAATACGCCAGAGAGTCATTATCCAAGTATGGCACGACATACACTAGAGTGGGATGAATATGAACAAAGAAACCAATTTTGAGGGCGAACCTGTTACATATAAGGGCTTCCTGAACTGCTGGACTCCAACCCCAAGACCTCATGTGCGAGTAATACGCTTGGCAGGTGAGACTAACTTCCTGATCTCATTCATTTTCAGAGATGGAAGAGAGAGATAGTTTCCAGTTTTCATGCTAAATTTAATGATTTATTGAGATCGCAGTACTTACTTGTGATATCCCAAATAGATGCCTGAAAAAAAGATACAATTAACAAAGACCAACACCAATAGAAGTAAAACTCTGTTAACCCGCCCAAAAATACATAAAAACATTGAATGAGACCACAACTAATCCTATTTCAAGTCTGACAACTTTGAAAACATGGAGTGAAGAGGTGGCCATAGGTAGAAACACGCTGTAGGCTGCTCAACTATGTTTAGGTTGACCGAAGATAGGCCGGACTCACAAGATCTATTTCGAATCCCACTTTGGATGATAAAATTGGACAAAGTAATCGTGCAACACTTCTTTACAAACTGCTGCTGCAGAGCTAGATACGGTCGTTGACGCTCCATGCTTCGGTGGTAGACGCCTTGTACTACATCGAAGGCTTTCTCTTCCGTATGAGCATGTATAATGTATCATTTTGCTATAATTAGAACCCAAATACCTACTAGGTATATAATGTAAGAAGGAGAGTGTCCTCCATTCGTGCGTACCGATGCACAGTCAGGCTTGAGGGGTACCAAGGTATCAGCCGCCCGAAGTATTGTGATTCCGAAACGAGTAATGATCAAATTTCAGACATGCAACAAGACAACAAAAAAAACAGCCTCAACATCATTCATCAATCTCGCATACACTCGAATAGGAAATGATTGATTTTCAGAGACGCAACAAGATAACAATGTTACCTCAAATTTCGGGCCTAGACCTCCTCAGATTGGGAACACGGAAGGCCCGTGATCAAAATGGGTAATCTCCACAGCCGATCGATTTCAGAAGATCTGCAACAAACTTCACTCGCAGCCGAGCACAGGCGACCCGTCCCGAAAGCGGATTGAATAGAGAAGATCAAGCGATTAGACGTGCAACAAACTTCAAAGGGTGGAGGTTTAAGCAGCAATGATTTGATGGCTCTAAGCGAGCTGTGCAAAACAGGAAAACAAATGATTAGGTTGGACAGCCAAGGCGTATTTCATGTCAAGAATTTGACGGTTTCGTACTTGTGTAGGCGAGCTGTAGCAGAAAGAGAAAGTTTCCGGAAAAATCAAGCGATGAGATTTGCAACAAAGGAAAGAGTATACAAGCTGAGGTATGCAGTTTGTCTGAATTGGGCGACACGGAGACGATCATGATTTTTTAGATGTGCAACAAAGGACTCGTACTCAATATCGGGAAATCTAGTATTGAAATCGTCGGAATCAAATCCTGGTTGGCTT